TTGCTGGGTATCACTAAAAGTCCTGCTTGGTGGCAATCGATCGTGCGGAGATCGCATTCGCCCACCTCTAGTGGGCTATGAGCCCAATTTGCCAAATACCTGCGAGTGCTTTAGCATTTGGTCCGTACCCCAGGCCCTGTCGACAGGCCCATAGTGGGGGCGAAGGTACAAAAAACGGATTCCCAAATGCTGGAATTCCATGCCAGAGCAGTATCCCGCCCTCCTATTCTTTGTAATGGAGAGGGTGGGGGGAGGAAGAGAAGAAGACATGTTTTTATCCACCCGAAGTCAAATTTTCGTTTTTTTTTTTGGGGGGGTCACTTTCAACATGTGGTAGATACTACCCAAGGGAGAATATGTACAAGGTTCAGCACCTGAAGTATCTAACCCCTCCTGGCCAAAGGAAGAAGTATCTAAGCACTGATAGGCATAGGCTAGAATATACAATTTCCACAATCCTTATCAGCTAGCTGGGGACAATTACAGCCCCTTCCCAGCTGCGGAAATGAGTACAAACGAATTTTTCACCCCATGTAGTACTAGCGGTCCTTAATATAAGATTTTGTTTGATTTTTATTTTGTTTTTAAATATAATACCTTAATCCACTTCGTCTCTAATATTTATGTATTTATTTCAAGGTAGTCTTTTTAATAATAATAATTCTAGCTAACACACTTGATTAGTAAGGATATTTTAGGAAAGACAACACCTATTTATTACAAATAACTAATTTAACTTTATTTTCTTAATCTTCTCAAATTAGTCAACTAGCTTTTATAATTAGGACTGGTAGTGTAATTTACGAAGCTTCTCCGGAGATACTATCATTGATTCCACATAAAGCTATTGTTACACGGGAAGCTTGAGTCCTTGACGGTTGGGAGGGGAGAAGAGAGAGGCAGGTAGGGATTCAATATTTGACTACCATATGAAGTATAAGCTCACCGACGAACAAATACGGTTTTGTATGATGATTAACATGAGCACCACCCAAAGTCTTGCGGCAGGAGGAGCTCAGCATTTTGTCTCTGTAATCAGATGCACAGCCAGAATATCCACCTTATGACCTTGAATTCAGCCTTAGATTGTTTTGGACATACATAATATCTTCTCCTCTCTCTGCTCCTGACCCAGAGGCATCATTATTTAGCCATATCTCTTCACACATCACAACACTTGAAACCTGACTCAAAACTTTTACCGCTAGTGTTTGCAAGTGGGGTATCTCAAAACCAAAGTTCTCCCACCGTGCCATTGGGTCCATCTTGTCTCTACAATCCACAGCATCTTCCTCTCCCAAGGATCTCTTATAGTTGCCAATAAGAACTAAGCTGCATTTTGAGGACTCATCTGCTTGTACTTTCCCTCTCATGTCTCTCTAATGTGGTTTCAAAATTAGTTGTCCCCAGCCGATAATTGTCTATACCGTATAAGATTTATGTTACCATTTTCAATATATTTCAGTTAACATCTACTTTCAATTTATGCAGAAATAGTTAATAAGCTGCCATATGTCGAGGGAACCCTATCATGTCCAATACATGCTGAGCTTTTTCCAAGTAACATTAACTCTTTGGAGTGCCGTCCTGTTGAGTCTTCTAAGAGTATTTTCATACTTTCACGAATAAATGAGAAGCAATTGAAACTGTTGGCCCGGGGAAAAAGAAAAACAACTGAAGTTGATTATTAAGAGAAGGCATAAAAACATGCTAATTCAAGTTGGTTTTATGCTTGATTCCAGTCAATTGTCTTCCACAATATCCGGCAAAGTAAAGAAATCGAGCATGATTTTGGGAAAAAAAGAAAAAAAACAAAAAACAAAAAACAAAATCCTCGCATCTTTGCCTCAGAGAAATGATAATTCCATCTTAATTCAAAAACCAAACTTGCATAAACTACTCACGATGCACAATTATGTAACTTCTGCAGTTTCTTGCAACCTTCAATGTGTTACTTGGCTTTCAACTTAAATAATTTGAGGAAAAACGATTCAAATTAGTGAGCTTTCGGCAGGGTTTTTACACTGCAGCCGTTTAGTTCTGTATCATAATTTCGTTGTGGTTCGGTGATCCCCGAGATTTCCCAAAATGTTGCCAAACAAAGCATAGGCTGGGTAGAACAACTATATGACCCCGAAATGAAAATGTATTGCACCGTAGCTTTTCTGTCACACAATGACACAAAGTAAGAGTAGACAACTCCAGACTAATAGTAATTTTGGAACCAAAATGACAAAAATGCTGGAGAGAGACAGGAAGTGGTGGCTTTACCTGGCTGCGAATTTCGCGCAAGCAACACATATTAACAAAGCTTGCGTTTGTTTGGTTGGGTTTCGGGGAATGCTTAATCCAGAAACACCACACGGGAGAGACCACTGAGCAATACGCGTTTTTTGATCTCTCTCTCTCTCTCTAATAATTAAGCCCCCCCAAACGGGAGCACATGTTTGTTTGCAAAGTTAAGCTATGCCTGAATAAGAATAAAGACATTCTTATGCCACGCGTCGGGTTGGATTATGAGATTTTAATCCATAAAAGTATACAACATTTCATGTTTATCTATCTTTTCTGTTTATTCTGTTTAAATTGACTTGGCACATATGGGTTAATGATCGGTCACCTGGTACTGTTTCGTGAGTCCAATTTAAATCTCAATCTATTATAGTCACGCTTTCTTTTACTCACTTATCGGTATGTTACCCGTATGAGTATTTATATAGGTTCAAAGAAAATTTCTTAATTTTTCTATTATAAATATAATATCTTATTGATCCAGTGATGCATCATAAATTGCTTAAAAGTATGCTTGGGATGGCATTAACTATTGGGGTGTTTGGGAGATTCGAGAAGCATTTTTAAAAATTACTTTAATATAAATCGAGATAAAACTCTTTTTATATACTTACTTCAAATTCTATAAAATTATTTTTAAAATCTTAGTTTGATTTTTATCTAAACACTTCCTATGTCAAATTCACATTGGCAAACTTAAAAGGCAGAAGTAATTATAAGTAGTTTGGGATGATATTTGGGCCTTCCCAAATTAGCTTTTTGGGTCAAAAAGCAAGGCAGACCCATGTTCAAGTGTTTGGTTTTGGTTAGGCTGGATTGCCTTCTAGTCTTAAAGCGGATAGTTGGAGACCCCAAAAGGCCTCACTTCTGTGCTCTCAAATTTGGCTACCCGAGCCTCTGGCCTGTGATTTTCTACAATTTCACTTTTAAACCTCCCCAGAACAAGCTTCACGTTCTGGTTTACTCAAGTTATTGCCTCGTCTTTTCATTTGTTGGGTTTCTGCCCCAAATTGCAGCTGTTAGACAACTCATCCTAGAAGATGGCTTAGTTTACCCATTCAAATCGTCATGTGACATATAAAAGGTCTTAGAATCAATCATTTGCATTTTCACGTCTGAAGTAAAGCTGTAATAATATAATATACTTCATGAACTATATCTAGATCTACAAGGGCAAATTATATTAAAATAAATAAAAGACGGGAGCCAATATCCCATTTCCATGTTCCAGGTTCCATATAGTACCATCTGCTTTACCTACATAAAATTACAGACAGCATTGCCTCAGAAATGAACCGTACCAGCAAGACGAAGTAACAAGAAAATGAGTCAACCTTTCATCGGTTAGCTCGATCGCCATTAGCATTTGAATCACATCATATAAAATAAAAGAAAGTCCATAGCTTCCCTTGAAAGGAGGCTATTTTATACCTGATTTCTTCATAACCGGTTCTCGCTGATCCCCATATCTGTGGGCTCTTCATGGCCTGCGGTGTGCCGAGAGTCCATGATAGTACCATTCGAAGAGGCAGTGGGCACATTCTGACTTGTAGGAAAGACATCGTCCGCTATTCCATTGCTTGTTCCCTGATTGACGCTGTCGAATAGTCCATTAGTTGTCGGCACAGGCTCGTCCTGTTCACCTTCTACCATTTCAGGATGACCCAGCACGTAGGGAAGAGCAGGAGACGCAGTTGAGTGTCTCCTCTGAATCTCCTTACTGATATTTGGTTTGAAACTGCCCACTATTAGCTGATGGATGCAGACAAATTCAGTTAGCCTGACTCATGCATATAATAAATTATTATCACAAATTTCCAGGTGTTTGTTAGAGAAACGAGTCAAATAAATTGTTTTTTTAAAAAATAATTTAGCACACGTTTATCAATTTTATTGAAAACCGTAAAATCTTAAAAAATTAACTAAATTGTTATTTTTAGCATCACCAAGCTTGGTCCGCACTAGGTTGATGCGAATAGCATACACTCAATTCCCGCCTTGAAGTGAGTAGATAAGAGTTTACCCATCATTTTAAAATTTGTGAACTAGAATATTCGTCAACCATCTATTGAATCTTCTGCGTTATACATTTTTCCTACACTAATTTATCTGGGACACCGCGGATTTTCGGGTCTTAACATTAGTCACAAGATTAACGTTACTATTAATCCAGAATCACCTGGCAACTTAGTCAAGAGAACTAACTTTAATAATATTCGTAGCCAAAGATGCTCAGGAGTGCTACAGTAACAACTATAACCCTACGATAATCTCAGATGGATGCTTCAAAAAAAGGTTCTTACTTGAATAGGCGCAGCAGCTATTAGTGAGCCCTCAACCCCACCTCCAAAGACCCTGCCATCAGGTTTAGCCAGAGAAACAGTGAACATGCCACTTCTGCGACGAGCAGCCACGGTATATGATCCAGTTAATGATAAAATCTCGAAGCGGCCCTGCATGGACCAAAATAAAAGAGACAGCCAAAAGCTTATACAGTGAAAACAAATGACATGTGCACATGCCTTGAAATGTAGATTACAAAGTGAAATTACATGAAGAAAAAGGAATTGGTGAGAAGAATCAAGCGATGAATTAGGAGCCTTTTGTTATTGTCTATGGTTAAGTAACAGAAGAGAGGGTATAAGATGATATGGGACCTCAATTATCTTGACAGTACCAGACTGGCGAATGATGACACTGGAAACTACACCGGTAGCAGAAAGGACGCAAACAGCTCGAGGACCTTTCTGAGAAAATGATAATATTGTGTTCACGACATCCTGCGAATAAATAACCAAAACAACAATTGGTCCTTGATTAGGAGGTCATTTTAAGCCCCATATTCAGATGCCAGTGTCACTATACCTCGCCGGTATTCACAGTAACGACATGAGGAGTGAAGCCTCCCCCAGCAGTGTCTGCAACAACTCCACCTTCACCAAAACATGTTTCAGACATGAGAAACTCATAAAATTGCCTAGCCCGCTATATATGTTCTGAGGGTGCTTCAATTAGCCGTTTATCTAGTCAGAGAGGAAGCTAGCATTTGAGTTGATTGCTTTTATTTAAGAAGCACCGGAACATAAAATGTACTACTGGAGTTGAGATATTTTACACGAATATTAAATGCTACAGCATTACTTTAAAATAGGACCGTAAAACGACTGGTTATTTGTTATTGAATATTTGATTTGAAGAAACTCACCAATGGATGCCAAAAGTTGCAGTTTTCCTGAACCACGAGGCCTTCCTCTTCGCTTCACAGAGCTCCCGAATGAGTAGTTGGAAAATCGTGACGGCGCCGAGGCCGGAGAAAACGGGTTCCCGTTTATGCCGTACTTCCGAGGCCTCCCTCTTCGCTTCTTTACCTTTATTTCCGAACCCGCAGCCTCGTTCCTTCCTCCTCCGATAGTGGGGCTAGAGTTCAGGGCTGGCTCAACTCCGACCGCCCCCACTACATTCGGCACGTCGTCAGTGCCCTTGGCCACCGGGCTCCCTGGTGTTTCGGTCGGAGAGTTTCTGTCCTCCATTAAAAACACCACTTGAAGATTTTCCGAGAAAGGTCTCAGCTATTATAACAAGAAAGAGACTTGAGGAAGAAAGTGACGATGGAGGTGTTCAAAGACGCAATACTGTGCAAAAGGCGCCAGAGGAAATGGAAATTTTGTCTTTTACTCTCTTTTCAGCTGAAACGGTCCTTTCACTCTTCACATACGCATTTGGGACTTTCAAAGCACAAATGGTGAAGAAAACTGAAATGTGTATAATTATTTATTACTGTATTTTTATGCCAATTATACCCCTCTTTATTGCTAAGTTATGATAAAAAAGGACAAAATATATAGTTACCGATTTTTTTTATTTTTTATTTTTTTTGAAATGGATCTAATCTGAGTATATTTTTGTCTAATTTTGGTGAAAGAGAAACTCTCAAATTCAGGAAAAATATTTTTCCAACCAAAATTTAATTGCTATAATTAAAAACCAAGGTTTATAATATGTCAGGATTTTTTTTTGAAAAAATTAGGATTCGGTGGATAAGAAGGGAGTGATACTGGGTATCTATGTCTGGGCATTGAATTTGGCAGTGCATTTTGGAGGCAGAATGATTCTTCCTAGCTTCTATGTTATTCCCAAAAAAAAAAAAACCACCTCAATAATTTATGCAACCATGCAAAATTAAAAAAAAAAAAATTAAGTGTACACATTAGAAGGCCGCTAAGCTATCGTGACTTTAAAGTTTGTTCTCGATTAATTATGAGTGAATAATTTGTGTGCGAGTATATGCATATAAAGGCTTTTTGAGCTGTAATACTCCTCCGATCCTTAATATAAGATCTATTTAATTAATTTGATTAGATTAAAAAAGTTATGTAAATTAGTTAATTATAAAAAATATGACACGTTTTTCTAAAATACCATAATATCTTTTTTAATACCCCTCTTTCTCTTTTACTTGATTATGGTTGAGGGAGTATCCATAGAGATAATTTAGATAAAAGTGATAAATATGAGAAATGAGTCTCATACTTAGGACCAAAACTAACTCAACAATTGGATTCTATATTAAGGATCGGAGGAGTACTATTTGTTTTTGTTTGTAATCTGTCTTCTTCTTTTTTTTAAAAAAAAAAAAGAAGTAGTGAATGAAGCGATCACACACTCACTCACATATATATTGCCAGAATGAAATGACCATATAAAAGACATAATATAAGCTTAAAACTTTGAATACAACTTTTATTTTTTTGGAAATTAGCTTCGCTTATTTTTTTTAACGTGGGAAATTGGCCTCACTAGCATTTTGGTTTTATGCTAATATAGTAATTTATTTAAATGGCTTGGCAGTCAACCTCTTATTTAAGACCACGAATAAATCATAATAACAGTGTCTTGAAATAGAATAAATTACTACTTCCAGTCTTAATTATAAGAGCTAGTTAACTAATTTGAGAAGATTAAGAAAAGAAGTTAAGTTAGTTATTTATAATATATAGGTGTTGTCTTTTTTAAAATATCCTTGTTAATCAAGTATATTGGTTGGAACTATTATTATTAGAAGGACTACCTTGAAAAAAAATACATAAATACGAGAGACAAAGTGGATTAGGGTCTTATATCTATGATTAAAATAAAAGTCAAATAAAGTTCTATATTAAGGACTGGATATAGTATTTAGTAAAAAAAAAAGAATAATTATATTTATTTTGTTGGTTATTTTTTATTTTGATTTTATGTTAAAATTCTAATACTTATACTATTTACCAAAAACATCAAAAATATTTAAAAAGGTCTTTCATTGTTTATAAATATTTAGTTTGTAAATATACGTTATATCATATTTACAAGTTTTCACAAAAAATAGAGAATAACAAAGTAGAAACTCTAAAATATTCGATAAAATAAATCAACATTCTTAGAATATTTTGATTATATTCTAAATTTTAAGTATATATGTCTGTATTAAATCCATTTCCATGAAGAAAGAAACGCCACTCATTTAAGTATCCCTAAAAAATCTATTAATTTAATATGAGAATGAGTTTGATTTTAAAGAATAAAATATATATTTTTGTAATATCTATCATGTTTTCATTATTTAATACTTTTTACATTTATTATGATTTATTACTATTTAAAAATATTTTTTATTTTATGGCAAATTAATTTTAATCTTATAACGAACAATTGATAATCATTACGAAGATTGTATATCAATAAGTTTGATGAATTTCTTTTTATGAATTTAATTAATATTTAGATATGTTTTATATAATAAATATAGCTGGTTAATCCTGGAATATCGGTTTTTTAAATGTGGTGAAATTATTTTCTCATTATGGAAGAAATATTATCTGCAGATCCCGTAGCACAAAATAGAAATAGAGTATATTTAAATCAATAAACAAAATTCAGGGAAAAAACGTGTGCGCCATTTTTTTTTTTTTTTTTGACAGTTGAAGAGCCAAGGCGCCCTTCGCTGTCGCCTTTCTTAACGTTTATGCTTGCGGATCTTTCCAACTTTACTCACTTGCATTTTACATTTATGCTCCTCCTCCTCGTCCTAATGAGTAGGATATGATAATATTGTTATTTTCTTTGTTAAGAAAATTTCGTATCTTTTTTGCCAGGAAAACGTATTCTGTTTATAAATATTTATGAGTGGTTTCATTTGTTTGTTCATGTATTATATTATTATTTTATACTTAATTATATAAACAAGTAACAATTATTAATTACTCGGTAATTACTTTAGCCAGTATCCATAAAATTAATTCATTCCAATAACTAGACTGGTGAAGTTCATGTTCTGCAACAAACAACAAAAGATGAGCTGTAAAATCATGTTAAAATTTAATTTTGACATCAGCTTATTTCTTTCAAATTCAAAATTTAAAATATTGGATGATGGTAGTTCTCCCTCAACTCCAATCCCTAAAATTTATGCTCTGTTTGGATGGAAAGAAAAGTTGTGAGGAAAGAAAATGGAAGGAGAGAAAATGAAAAGAAGAAAAAAAACCAAAGAAAAAAAAATATTATTATCTATCTTGTTTTGATAAATGAGAGAAAATATAGAGGAAAGAAAATAAGCAGATATATGAATAACTAAAATACCCTTATCTATATGCCAAAATATATTATGTTTAAAACCAAATTAAATATCACAATAAAAATTATATAAACATTAATATTATCAAATAATTTAAATAAAATTAATTAATAAAAATATATCATCATATTATTATATTTAAAAATCAAATCGTTTAGTAAAAAAGTTATTTTTAATAAAAAAAAGTGGATACTTTTTTAAATTAAATATAATAAAAGAAAATCAATAAAATTATTATTTAAAATTATGTTAAATAATAAAAATATATTACAAAATTTGGCTACAGTAAGATAATTTTGCTAAATAATAAAATAACAATAAATAAAATTAAAAAATTGCATTAAAAGCAAAAAATGTGTTTATATACCCAGTATGAGAGAGGATATATGAGGAATGTAAGTTTTCTTCTTGTTTTTTCTCCATATGTGGAGAGAAAAGTTGAAGAGAAAATAACACGAGCCCCGCACCTTATTTTCTCTCCTATTTTTCTTTTCTCCTGCTTTTCTCTTCTCATACAAACAATAGAAAACTTATTTCTCTCCTCATTTTCTTTTCTCTCTCATTTTCTCTCCATCCAAATAAAGGGTTATATAATCCCAGCAGCTTGTGAGCAATCTGCAAGGACGAGGGCAACTAGGTAATGTCATTCCCCATTGATGATAGCATTAAGAACTCTGCATCTAAATTACCATCTTTCTATATTCACTCTTCTCATCTGATGATTATTACTCATGTTATGCAGTTCTTATGCATGCCAGTGAACCAAAATAGCAAGGCCATGGAGGAACAATTAACAATAGCACAAAGACAGGCCGCCATAGTTACTATTGTCCGGAGGTTCAATCGAACCGAGTTTGGATGTATAATCGCAGTCCATCCGAGCTAATGGCAATTTCACCATCATCCACATCAATCTTAATCTTTTTCATATGTTCTTGAACAGCGAAGTGATAAAATCTACTTTACATCATAAAACTGTCAATCAATTCATCATAAGATTGACTTCCCAACTTGACACTGAAAACCCAGAGCATCAAAATGCAAGAATATGTACTCTCCCCATGATATTATTGCGACTATAATTATAAAATGACAAATCCAAAATGTTACAACTGGTTTTGTCCAAGGCAATATATATCTTACATGCTAATGAGCATAAACACGCCAATAAAACTGGGAAGGGAATAAAAAAATTGAACTCGAAACCCTCACCCAAATGACACATCATCGCTAAATCGACAATAACTTTGTGCATAAAGAATCTCCAAAAAAAGGCCGACCAACCCATAAATCCCCATCCAAACACTCAGCCGGTAACAAACTAGTTCGCTCTCAACCCCACCAGCCCTAACATTACGGTTTCGTTTATCAACTCATTTATCTTGAAGGAATAACGGGTGGCGCTGGCTGTGTAAATCAAGTTTACAAGTGCAATGACCATACTCATGAATCTATCAGCTTCATATGTCATAGAAGAGCAGCCAGTATCGCTCCAGGGTCGTTTGGTGCTGCAGGCACGCTTGCAGGTTGAGCCACTTGAGGCATTTGAGGTGCTTGTGTTGGTGGCGCACGGGTTGCTGGGGGCAAACTGACCAACAGTTCCTTGATGAACTCCTTCAACCTGCAAACCAAATATGTAAGAATTACCTGGAAGATCCATGAAATAATTAATATCACTCCAAAGCATAATTTTCGATCACATACTCAAACGTTAGCGTAGGATCCCCTGAAGCAACTGTCATCCGTAGCTGGGTTCTGTCTGCTGGATCCGTTTCAATTCGCATCTGAGTATCATTTATTTAAATAAAAAGTT